GATTCTATGTATAATATAGTTGGCACTAATAAGTTTAGGGGAGCCAATGGCCTCCAGTACACTCCTGGAGTCAGAAAAAATTACCGCCTTGGAGTATCCGGCGTCTTGTATTAAAATAAGGGCTTGTAAGATGGCCCATGCTTCTGCTGTAAACACAGAGGCCTCCGTACTCAGTTTATATCTGAAACTGACGCCCAGCTCCGGCGAATACACCGCTGCACCCACACATCCCCCTTCCTCCGTTTTGGAGCCGTCAGTATATAAGGTGATGGCCGAGTCCCTTAAATTGTAAGAGTTAGCTAAAAATTCCGATCTGATCATTTGGTCTGTTTTATTTTTTGTGTCAGAAAGGACATGATGGAAGCTCTCACGGAAAACGAACTCGGAGTAGGAAGCCTTGAAGGCAGGGTGGAAAGTGGATTGAAAAGGATTGTCAAAAGTATTTTTATTAAGAATATAATGCTTAAAGGAAGGGGACCGCCTAATCGTTTCGTATTTTTCTTCAGGTGTACATAGAGACGCCTCCATGGATGTAAGACTGCATAAAACGAGTCCATTATTAATGGACGTGGCTTTGAGTACTAGTCTCTCAGACAGAGCGGCGAAACGGAGTTTAAGCGGTAGCTCTCTGGCTTCATGCAAGATAACGTTGATAGGCGTAGACTGTCTGTAACCCATAGCAAGTCTGATAGCTCTGTACTGAAGTCTTTCGAATTGTAAAAGTAATGTTTTTTTATTATGCAGAATAAAAATCTGACAGCCATATTCGATAGAGCCTCTGAATACTGCCCTATATAAGGTGAGGAGGAGCTGAGGATGGGAGCCCCACCACACGGCGGCCAGGGATGACAGTATGTTGATTAGACTCCTTCCTTTCTTGATCAAATATTCAAAGTGTGCCTTCCCGGAAAGATTGGAATCCAGAATGATGCCCAAGAATCTGACATTGTACACTCTTTCGATAGGTTGAGTGTTGATGTATGCCTTTAATAGATTTTGCTCTCTAATTAGTCGCCTCGCACTGTTATTCCTGGAAAACAGCATCCATTTAGATTTGCATGCCGACAACTCCAAACCTCTATCCTCAAGAAATGAATTTACTGTGTTGAGGGAAAACTGCAGGCTGTTAACCGCATCTCCAGCATGTCGAGAGGCTGAGTAGATCACAATATCATCCGCATATTGCAGAAATCGGGTGTCCGGGTGCAGTTGGAGGTCCATTTGCCGTAAGCTGATATTAAATAACAACGGACTTAAGGTAGAACCTTGCGGGGTTCCTTTATTTACTAAAAACGCTTCGCTGAGACGACCATCCTCCACAAAGTGAATCGTTCTGTGTGTGAGTGTGTTTTCCACGAATTTGCGAATTCCAGCAGGCACTCCCACCTCTCTTAGCTCGGACAGAACTCTCTCCGGTAGTATGTTGTCGAAAGCCCCTGTAATATCAAGAAAGGCCGCCGCTATTACTTCTCCTTTGAGGAAGCTTGTCTGAATTTCATTTGTCAGAGTAATCAGGCTGTCCGAGCAAAATCTATTCGGCCTGAAGCCCATTTGTTCGTTGGGCAGAATAGCTTGAGATTCTACCAGCCATTGAAGTCTCAAATAGATGATCCTTTCAAATATCTTGAGGACACAGGAGAGCAGCGTGATCGGTCGTAGTCCATCACTGTTCGCTTTCGGGATGAATATGACTAGCGCTGTCTTCCAGGATGGAGGTATGACACCTTTCTCTAAAAATTGATTGAAAAGGTTAAGCAGATGGTCCTTATATTTGGCTGGTAGAGCGTCGATCATAATATAACTAATCTGGTCTATCCCCGGAGAAGATTGTTTTCTAGATTGGGAGATGGCCAAGTGGAGTTCCTTGGTGGAGAACGGCGCGTCCAGGTGAGTAAAGAGTCTCCCCGAGCGATGCTTGTCTTCCGCAATCATCGAGTCTAATCCTATGGTAATGTTCGGCGGACAGAAAGGAGGACAAATTTTTTCTTTCGCCTTTTCCAGCTGAGCACAATGGTTTGAGTCGTCTAAAATTGTGTTAGAAGATTCCGCTAAGTTACGCCTTTTAAAGGCCTTAATAAGACGCCATATTTCACCTGTAGGAGTCTCATTGTCAATGGATTCTACGAATTTCCTCCACTGTCTCTTCTTAACTTTATACAAGGTCCTGGAACAAGCTGCTCTGGATTTCTTGAACGCTAGGAAGTTTTCCAAGGAAGGACATCGCTGGTAAGTCTTCGCAGCAGCTCTGCGGTTTAAAATGGCCCTGGAACACTCTTCGTTCCACCAAGGAGGATCCTTCTTATCGCTGGGCGCGATAACTGTACGGGGATGGCGTTGGTTCTCTGGCAGAAGTAGTCTAGTTTGATCTCTTAGATGATCTGCAAGATGATCATATGCCTTAATGGGATCTGAGGGAGTCTCATTAAAAAATTTTTCAGAGGAGGAAAGCAGGTTCTGATGTAATTCTTTCGCTTTGCTGGAGTCCAATATTAGCTTATATAAAAAGAAGTGTCGTAAATGTGGTACACTCCCGATGGAAATAATCGTGGGAAAATGGTCACTACCAAAAGTATCCTGTTCTGTTGAGACATTACAAAGCGGAGCCAGGCTGGCTGAAGCGATAGTTATATCTATAACGGATTTATTTGACCCAGGGGGGGGTAAGAAAGGTAGGATTGCCATCATTCATCACACAGGCTTTGCTGTCATTCACTGCTCCCAGGAGCGCCCTGCCAGGACGATCCGATTTTGAGCAACCCCAGAAAGTGTTATGCGCATTAAAATCTCCAAGTACAATAGCATACTTATATGTAGAGATCAATTGAGAGAGCTTGTTATACCATTCAGGCGGTGTAAACTTGTTAGGGTGACGGTAAATGTTAATGACTACTAACTTGTCATCAAGCATGTTAAGAGATATGCCCTGAATTTCAATTGAAGGATGCGATAAATCTGTTAGGTCTAGGTGGTTAAAAATTATATTATTTCTCAGTAACATGCCGATTCCCCTCTTACCAGGGCCATCCGCGTCCATTCTCACAGATTGAAAGAAAGGAAGTCGGAAAGAGATATTAGGGAACAACAGCGTGTCCTGTATGCACAAAATGTCAATTGTTTGCTTAGTTGTTGCAGCTGAGGAAGTTTAACCCGAATTCCGCAGCAGTTCCACTGTAAGATGCGAGTAGAATGAGAGTGCTTATTATATTGAATGAAGGTAATTACTGTAGTTATCATAGTAGACAGAATTGGAAGGAAGAGGGTAAGTGTTGTGCTGAGATTCCGCAGAGCTCTCCGTGCAAAAACCTAGTGTAGTCAAAATGTCGGAAGCTTTTTTAAGTAGGTTGATAATGGGAGATATAAAGTTTCTAATAGAGGGAATGCTGATTAGAGACTCACAATTTTCCAGAAAAACTATGACTTTGTGTAAAGTCGTACCTATACTCTCATTCTCCTTCGTTGTTGATGAGTCTTCGTTAGTTAAGGCAGAGCTATGACTTCCCTTGGGACCTCCGCCCGTATGCACCTCGTCAGGGTATATCTTGCTATGTCCATTAGGTGTCGACAATAATTTTTTATGTTCTTCGGAATATCCCGACCTATTAATCGGGCGTGATGTTCGAACGCCGGTAGAGTAGGGGGTCGAGGCAATTTTATATCTTCCTGCAACAGATTCTATTCCTCGTATAGTTGGTTTTCCTTTAGAAGGACCCGGATGACCTTGTCCTTGACCAGAAGTCGTCTGCAATGACGTTGCTGTGACGCTGGCGTAGCTCCCGTGTGGAAAATGAGAAGAGGGATCCCCGAGATCATTTAAATGTTGAAAGCGATTGGAGGTGGGTAAAGAGGAAAAATTGGAATTATTTATATCGGAAGGAGAAGCTGTCGAAGGGAAAAAAGAAGAAGAAGATTTAGTTTTTAAGTAGGGAAAATTCCTGAAGTCTTGAATGATATTATAGGAGGGTAAAGGGGTAGGATTATTGGTAGCTACTATTCTTCTAGCTTCCACAAGCGGGATATTTTCCTGCGCTGCTAATCCAAGTATGGATTTATGCCTGATTATGATAGGGCACGAGTACGAAATTGCCAGATGATCCCCCCCGCAATTGATGCATTTGGGTTGCTCTTGTTGTTCGGAGCAAGAGTGATCATCCTCCTTGGAGGTTCCACAAAATAAGCAGCGTGGTCTGGTACTTTTGCAGTCTCGACCAAGATGTCCCACTCTGTAGCATGCGTAGCATAACTTTGGCTTAGGAACGAATGGCTCTATCTTATAGATGGCGTTGAAGAAAACCACCTCCTTTGGGAGCGTTTGACCTGCAAATTTGATACAGAAAGTACGAGATGGTACATATGTGGTCAATTGTCATACGTCTGTTCAAACGCTGAGCGTCTAGTATTTTGATCGTAGAGGTTAAATTTTCTTTTACGCATTCCGTTGAAATAGCCTGGTCGATTCCCTTAAGAATACCCGTGCGGAGGACTTTAAAAGATGGAATGAAAGCATGTAATTTATTTTTTTCGAACACCGGATTAGATAGTAAACGATTAGCAGCATCAGCCGATTTGGCCTCTATGATGGCCTTGCCAGCGCCTAGCCTCTTAATAAGAAGGATGTCATTCTTGATTGAATCTGATATTATACGAGATAATACAGAAAAATGAATAGGGGCTGCCTTGTCAGAGTAAACATAAATGACATATGGTTGTAAATCATTCTTAGAATATTTGTTAGGTGTCATGCTTATTTTATTATTATTTTCGTTCAGAGGGGAAGAGTCGACATGACCGGTACGTAGA